TCAAGTGATCAGGAGTACAATAATTGTGTCCTAAAATATGCTGACATCACACTTGCCGACCCCTGTTCTTGTCATGTACTGTTTAATCTTTCCATGTAGTTCTCTAGTTATTCACTGCCATCGTGTTTTCTGTTGTCATAGGCTTTTTGAAGTGGATTATATTTTCATTAGAGGGACCATTTGGAGTTCATATGGATTGCCGTGACGTTGTCGCCTGTGGATCGAAAGGTTGTGGGTTTCGGGTCCTGGCGGAGCAGTTCCCCACCCTCTCAAAAATGACGACTCCTAGGTCGACCCAGCCTTGAGTGGGTACGAGGTACAGTCCTGGGAAGTAAAGGCAACCAGCGTGATGCTGACGACATCACCCACCAAGGGCTGACTGGTCTATACAAATGTAGGTCTAGTACAATATTCACAATACGTCCAACGGCCTGGAAAAAAGACGTTTACTTACTTGATTGATCCTATGTTTATTTTATTGTGTTGTTCACACATTTCCTAGAGCTGTAACAGCTTCTCATGCCCTTTGTATTATTGCCTTTCATCTGTGTCGAGGTTGTTGCCTAAATAGGTGTGTGAATCCACCTCTGTCACAGACTTTGGTTCACCAGTATAAAACTTAGATCCCCTGGTATCGTCACTGGATCTACGCATTTATTGCTTTCTGCGACACTTTTGGTTTGCGGCTAGTCGTCCTCTTGAGAATAGACCTGGACATAAAGGATAGCACACGGTGCTAAACAGTGTTGAATTCAACAATGTCTGTGCTACAGTTTTTGTATCCTATAGCAACAATTTGTTTCTGTCTCAAACAGCTAAAGAATACAGATTTGGGAGAAAAGGTGTTATACGAGTAATAACAACGGGGAAGAGGGAAAGGGGGGGGGGGGGGCAGTAGTAAACACCAGATAAGAAGTGGATAGGAGAAGCAAAAAAGTGTGCACCACATACAATGTAATTAAAGGACGCACGTGTGGTGAATCCTTGTAATGAAAGAGTTAGAAGATCACTTAAAAAAATGTTTAGTTTATTTTGCCTCTGACGGAGACAGTTAAATTTAACTGTTTTTATCGTGCAGCCCTGAACTGATATATAGAGTTGCAGCTGCGACAGGACGAGAGGTCAGAGGTAAACACAACGACTTCGTCAAACAAGGCAACTATGGGGAACACACAGGGGCCAGCTGCTTCAGCCCCGTCATCAACATCGCCAGGGATCCCAGGTGGGGTCGTATTCAGGTAAATCAAACAGTCGTAGTTATACTGATGGGATTATTGAAAGTAGATGAGGCAGGAGGATGTGGACAAACATAACAATCAACGCCACATATGACGAGTATAAGAATAATATAATATAATGGCGTGGCTGCATTTTTTCTCCCACGCATTTACCTCTGCACATGAATCATTCGTGTATCCCTTGCGCACATCTGTAAATCGTTGTAATGGCCTGCATCGACATCTTTTACCTATTTGTAGTTTACCATACAGACTATCATACGGAACTCTGCCATCCTCCATTCTCTAGGTGTGAGCCAGCAACCTAAGCCTTCTTAGACTGAACATTGAGAAAACCGCTATAATCTCTGTACTTTCCCATACCTCGGTGTTTGTGATCTTATCGGGCCACTAAATGCCAAGCATTGAAGCATGCCATATACACCAACTTTTGACAGTGCTCATTTTTCATTGTTCATTTAAAGATAATATTCCCCGCACATTGGAAATGACCATACAATATGGATGTAAATCCTGGACAGTTAATAAACAAACCAAACAATGTCTCGAAGCTATGTCATCAACACAGCCAGAGATCGCACATTCTGGTACATCAACAAGTCCTAGTTAAACTGATGTAATGATTGTCAGTAAATAAGTAAAGGTCACGTATAGGGCATACAGGTCTAGACCTATATTTTTTTTAAAATCGGCAAAGGCTGGATGATGCGCTAAGCATCACGCCGGCCGCTTTTACTTCCCGGGACTGCACCTCGTACCCACTCAAGGCTGGGTCGACCTGGGATTCAAGGTCATTTTTGAAAAAAGTCCGGCTCTGCCAGGGAGCGAACTCACGATCTTTTGATCTGCACGCGATTGTCTAGCCGCAACGCCATGGCGACTCCCGAATGATTGTCAGCAGGCGAGACAGAAGGATCATCATCATCCTGTGCCCTGCCAACTGGCGTAGGCGCTCGTGCGTCTCCACAGATCACGATCCCAGGTTGCCCGGAACAGCTTTCTTGATTATATCCCTCCATCCCATCGTTTCAGCCCATCCAGCATCATCTCTTGGTCTGCCTCTTCTCCCTTTTCCCACTGATCTTTCCAGTTGTTACAATGTTCTCCAATGTCTCTCTTCTCATTATGTGGCTAAAGAACAGTGTTTGTCTCCTTCTTATTTTTTTGTATATAGAGATCTACTTTCATTAGCTTCTTTCAAGCAATCGTTGTTAGTTACTGAGGCCGTCCAAGGTAACATTCGTCTCAGAAACCACAGACAAAAGGATATGGACAAAAATAACAATCTTCAAAGCCACACAAGGCGTGACTAATAAGAAGAATAAATTAGTGATATGGTTGGTTTACAAGTACAATAGGGTTTGTTCTGTTCTCAACGTATCTTAACTCAGTTCAAGGCTGTTCTTGATGTCGCCATTAAAGAGCAACAGACTTACTGGTTTGGTCTTCCTTCTGACGAGACTGCCCTGGTACCAAATGCCACAGAGAGCCATACTGAAGAAATAAAGACACAAACACAGGGCAAGGAGAAGATCACCCAAACTATTGAACGACGGTATCAAAAACAGAAGAAGAAAATATATTGAACTGATACAACACCATCATCATCATGAACCCCATCATCGACAGGCATGTGACTATGACCTGACGAAAAATCTTTTTTGGGTGTTCATGGGGACCCATTCCTGCCTCCTGTGTATTTGCTTGACCGAGGCGGCCGTCTCGATGGTACATCTTCAGCTAGTGCCATCCAAGACCTTCATCGTCTATAACGGTCTCTTCTAAAATTTGTCAGATCGCCGTGAGCCTGTCATCATTGGCGAATAGCATAAAGAACAGTGGTAACCATCAAGTAATCATACAACACACGAGACAGCAAAGACACGATCCTTACATGCATTTCCTCTCAACACTGGTGAGATCACTGCAAGCAGAGAAGAAGACGCATATAAGCTGTATAAACAATGCACACTTGCCTTCCAGTCTGGCGGCTTTGGTTCCAATCTCAGGCCAGACGAATGAACAAAACACATATTACACAAGTTCCCACGACGACTTAGAACCGAGTCATTTTGAGAATAATCTTCGACTGGCAGTGCTGGATTTAGGCACAAGCTAACTAAGCTACAACTCAGGGCCTCACAAAATGCAGGGGCTTTCACTTATTCATATTTTGTTCACATACACAATTTTATTTTAATATTATTAAAAAACAAATTCCTAGAGACTTTAAAGTTTTATTAATATTACTTCGGGTATGTTGTTTCAAGCTTTTATTGATTCCAACTTGTAGCCTATTTAAATTTAATAAAATAATCACCCTGATATGCGTCATCTTCAGTCTCATTACCTTGTTGAAAAAAAAGTTTTATAAGATTAACGAGTATCATTTAAAACTAGTAGGGGCCTTAGATTAGGGCTTTATCTTGTCTTAATCCGGCCCTGACTACTGAACAGGAAATGAACACATAGCAAAGAGACAGGCAGGCAGTCAATGTAGCCAGCTATTTTTCATAGTTTCCCGTTACTGAAGCTAAACACAGGTTCTCTGGTTTGATAAAGGCAATCAGGCAAGATAATGTAGACAACGAAAACAGGGACAGGGGACTTTATATAACGATCAGTTTACACTGGGATGGACACTGGGGGGGTTGCTGAGAACATCTCTTGTACTTGCAGGAAACTTATGGGGAAGATCCGTTTCTCAGCGGGGTGCTGTCGGAGTATTTTGTTAAAGGTTTACAAGGTGAGTGTCTGTTTAACCTCTGGACCATCATATCACAGTCATCAACATTTCGGAAACTACTGCCATCATCATCACCCTCATCATCGTCGTCGTCATCATCACCATCATCATCTCTAATGTACCATTACTGGTGTCGGTCGCCTTTTCATCAGCATAATTTCCATAACATTAGACGTTATTGAGTTTATAGTTCAAGCTCCAATTAAAAACCTAACAGAAGATCAAATGGTTTGGTCATCTCGTTAGAATGCATCTAGAACAACTACCAACATATGCGCTACATGTCAAAATATTTGACATGAAAGCAAGAGGTCGCCCCAAGAGACAATGGAATGGTGATGTTAAAGAGCTTCTACATCAACACGGAAAGGCAGTAGCCATTATTTCCCATCAGGCAACGGATCGCAATCTATTTCCTTTTACGAAGCCCAACGGCACAAACGTGGAAAGTGAAAATGACGATGATGATGGTTCTAGCTCCTTTATGTTTAATACTAGGTGTGTGCTCAGTGTGACGTCAGTTCCATTTATTTCCTATGGCATTTCCGAGTACTCATTTTTGGCTGGGTCACCCTAGGAGGTAAGATAAATTTTAATTAACATAATCAATATGGATTTGAATGTTTTAACCAGGGTGCCGGTAGGTGAACTCCTCCCCCCTCCCCCCCCCACACACACACATACACACAACAGACATAGGCACACACGCGCGCACGCACGCACGCACGCATATATATATATATATATATATATATATATATATATATATATATATATATATATATATATATATATATATATATATATATACTCACATACACATTTATGTACATACATGAGTGTATGTGTATTTTTTGTTTCACACTGCCACGTAGACTGGATGAGCAACTATCTGTCTCTCCTTTCCATTCGTCCATTTCTTCCGTCTTTTATCTACGGCCTTTGTGTCTCGTCCAGTCTCAAGGTGTTTCATCTGAACCTGACTAACCGTGGACTTTTGTATTCTGGCCAAACAGGCAACGATTCCAGGTTCGTGCAGGCTACGGCCGGGTGCAAACATTTTGATGTCCACGGAGGGCCTGAGAACATCCCTGTCTCCAGATTCTCCTTTGACGCACAGGTAATTGTTCATTATGAATTATTCAAGTAACAGAAAGTGTATTGATCGGCACTCATAGCAAGAAGTAGAAAGATAGAAGAACACACTAGGGAACATAAAAATCGACAGCTATAGTTACCGTGCCGGGAATTGATCCTGTCACCTCCAGACGGCGTCTGCGCCTCGCCATAGATACAAGTGCACTTGGAACATGGTCAACTAGGCACCCTCCAAAAAAGGTGTCTTGTTGGCCATATCTATCGAACAGCTTGAAATCCACAACTATGGAATACGGACAACATTTATTTCAAACCATTGCAATGGCACCATAGGTTACAGACATTTATATCAACGAAGCATATGTAGAATAACAAATACAGCAACAATTTACGAACACATTAGACCTTAATGCTTTGTCTAGAATACACAAACATTTAAGAAAGGTATTTGATTGGTTGGTTCCGGTAGAGGTAATTGTTCAGGCGCACGTGTATTCTTGTTGTCTAGCAGGAGATGCTGACTGGGATAGTCAAGGACAGGACGGCTTGGCATGAGTAGGTTGAATGCCTATATTCTACTGGGGATAACGGACAGAAGAAGAATAAGAAGGAAACAGAAGAAGAGGAAGGAGAGGAGGAGGAGGAAGAAGAAGATCAAGAAGAAGAAGAGGAGGAAGAATAGGAAGAGGACAAAGAGGAAGTGGAAAAAATGAGAAGAGAAAGAAGAAGAAGAGGAAGAAGAACTTATGCCGTTAAGTGTTGTAGTAATGAACCTTTTGCGATCCATTGCTCGGCCGGTAACAATGACTATTGTAATTCGTGTCGATGTAAAAGCTCTTTTATGTCACCAGTGGCGCCTCTGTTGGTAGTTACTCTGTCTGCATTTTTACCAAACCATTTGATTTTATTTTTCTCAATGAATTTACTGCGTGTGTTGTTCTCACAATCTTGTCTTATAATATCATGTCTAACTTTGTCTCTGAATGTTAAGTTTGCGGCTTTTCTCAGGCATCTCATTTTACAGGTTAATTTGATAATGTCCAAGTGGTATGAAGGAAAATACTGATTTGATGCTATTATATTTGAGAATTATTTAGATTTTTATGAAACTATTTATGTGGTCCACCCATCACTCTCCTGTAACGACATAGCGTCTGTGGCTTAGGTGTTGCGAACCGCTTCGTAATGCCAGGGAGCCGGGTTCGATCGCAGCTGTGGGCTCTGCGCCTTGCGTTGGTTTCGACAGTGGTATCGAGAAGCTGACCGTCCAGGAAGAAATGGCAAACTATTTGACGTAAATGTACGTAGAGAAAACTACAACAGTCAAAAAATGGTTCTGCAATGTCCTGTAAAGGATACGCAACTGACTAACTAATTAACTAACTAACTAACTAACTAACTAACTAACTAACTAACTAACTAACTAACTAACTAACTAACTAACTAACTAACTAACTAACTAACTAACTAACTAACTAACTAACTAACTAACTAACTAACTAACTAACTAACTAACTAACTAACTAACTAACTAACTAACTAACTAACTAACTAACTAACTAACTAACTAACTAACTAACTAACTAACTAACTAACAGACAGACAGACAGACAGACTGACTGACTGACTAACTGACTGACTGACTGACTGACTGACTGACTGACTGACTGACTGACTGACTGACTGACCGACTGACTGACTGACTGACTGACTGACTAACTAACTAACTAACTAACATAACGACATAGTAATGTAGTAAATATGGCATCTGAAATGTCACACTTTCACATATTCTAGGATATGTTTAATGAGATAAAGTGACAATTTCTTGGCTTTGTCACTTTTTAAGAGCTATATTTTCACAAGTCTCTCCCCTCGCCAAAAGCCATCACCAGGTCTTAGAGCACCGGTCCAAGCCACTCGTTTTGTTGCAATTAACACTTCTTAGCCAACACACTTGGCACACAGAAACCAGACCACAATTATAACCGATTCTGTTCGCAGTGCGTTGAACCTGTTCGATTGTTTGTTTGTTTCGTTTTGTGTACATAAATGGACGGACGGAGGGACAAGATCGGACTGAACTGTTGAAAACATTAAACCGTTACTGTCTGAGAGGTTTTCATGGGCCGTGATGTGATAGCCGACATTTTGCAACATGCGTGGTACATGATGATGGTGATGTATCATACGCTTTCAGGTTTCAGATGTTGACTGGAGAACCACATTCCTGCCAGCTTTCAAGAAATGTGTGGAAGCGGGAACTTTTAGTCTCATGTGCAGCTATAACAGGTTTGAGAATTACCATTCTCACTTGTGCTCTTTTACATTTAGCTGTTAATTGGTGAAAAATCAGACAATTCTTATTAACAATTACCTTCTTTGTATTTCACGAGGGCTTTAGAGCAGTGGTTTTTGACTCTTTTCAGGTGGCGCCCCCTCTGGTGTGTGGCAATTTTCCAGCCTGGTTAACAAGGGGAACAAGAAAACATTAAGAGCAAACAAATAAAGAATGTAGACAACTAACGGTGCTAGATCAACAAACATAATGCTGAAAAAAAAAAAGAGAAGATTGGCTTACAATTCGAGAAGAACATTGTGGAGATAAAAATAACTTTCAATGGGTTTCAAAATGTATGCTTAGTCTTTTGGCTTTACCTCAATCATCTGCAGCTATAGAAAGAGTTTTCTCTCTGCTTAACACTATCAAACACAGGCACACACACACAACGCGCGCGCGCATACACACACAAACTCTTGTTTGAAGTCTCCAAGACTAAAAGTACAGATAAGATGAGAGCAAAGTTATTGCTGGAGGACATCAACGGTACTGACTGGAAACGGCCACGCCGGCTCTGTAACAATCGTGGGGGTGGGAGGGGGGGGGGGTGGGGGGGGGGGGGGGGGGGAGGGGGGGGTGGGTGGGAGGGGAAGGGGGGGATGACAAAAAAGAAAGTACCGCAATGATTTGATGGATACAGAATTTCAATTTCAATCAAATATAAGGTAAGGTAATTATGTGTGTGTGTGTGTTCAAATATGTTTTAACGATTTTTTAAATTAAAAATTAAAAATGTTGTACCTTTTGGTATGTTTTGGTAAAAACAAAGTTACTAGCGTACCCTTTACAGGACGTTGCAGAACCAACCCCAGCAGTTTTTGGCAGTTCTGGTTCTTCTAGGTAAATTTTACGTTCAGTAGTTTGTCACTGCTTTCTGGGCGGTCACCTCTCGGTACCACTGTCGAAACCAACGCAAGACAAATCGTCTGCAGCTGGGATCGAACCCGGCACCCTGGCATTAGGGAGCGCGTTTGCAAAGCTTCAGCCACAGACGTCGGCGTGTTTTGGTACCTTTTCACAACAAATTTGGTACTATTCCCAACAAAATTTCGACAGCACTGCTTCCCTCAGTCAAATATTTCATACTTATGTTGACTAAATAACCTACAGAATAAACGGGGTGCCCGCCTGCGCCAACCAGAAATTGCTGTGGGACATTCTGCGAGGGGAGTGGAACTTCACCGGCTATGTGGTCAGTGACGAGGGAGCCATAGAGAACATCATCTCGCAACATCACTACCTCAACAACAGCGTGGACACGGTCGCCGCATGTGTCAACGCTGGCACCAACTTGGAGCTGTCCGGGAATCTCCAAAACCCGGTCTATGTTTCCCTTGGTCTGTATGAGAATTTTATGTACCTTTTCAGTAGCAGTAGTATGAAGAACATTCTTTGCAATAAATCTCTGCCATTGAAGGTTGAAAAAATAATTCTTACTTGCTATATACATCAAGTTTTAACATATGGCTGTGAGTCCTGGACAATCGGTAGGCAGGCCAAACAATTTCTGGAGGCCTCAGAGTTGTGGTTTTACAGAACAATGCTTAAAATACATTGAACAGCCAAAAAGAGCAACCAAGAGGTTTTGAAGGAGGCGGGAGCCCGAAAACAACTTATCACAGACATCAAAAGGAGACAGTCATCATGTTTCTGCCATGTTATGTGAGCAGGGAAAATAGAACATGTTGTGACCACTGGAAAGATCTGTGGAAGGAGGGATAGAGGAAGACAACGAAAGAAGATTCTTGAGTCATGTAGCATGGTATGGAGGTGTGTCAGCACACAAACTGATACATGCTGCAGAAGATCGTGGATTGTGGAGAGGCATGATCGCCCACCCCAGTCGGCAAGGCACCTGATGATGATGATGAATAGCAATAGAAGTATAGTAATAGTAGTTATTGTAGTAGCAGTAACAACAACAGTAGTAGTTGTGTAGCAGCAGTAACAGCAACAGTAGTAGTTGTTGTAGCAGCAGTAACAGCAATAGTAGTAGTTGTAGCAGCAGTAACAACAACAGTAGTAGTTGCTGTAGCAGCAGCTGGACAGGATTTAGACTTGATGATGCCCAGAGCTAGATAATGTCACGACGCCCCTACCGTTTTAAGGCAAAACAGCTAATCTCGGAAAACTAATATATATATATATATATATATATATATATATATATATATATTATATATATATATATACACACACACACACGCCTTTTATTTGTATGGATAATAGAGAGGTATTGTCTTCGCATTTTTTTAAAGTAATAAACAATGTTTCAACAAAGAAGACACACAGAATAGATGGCACAATTTACTGCCGTATGTTAAAGCTAATAGGGGCTTTTGAGCTGAAACGCTATAGAAAGATTCTCAGAATATCTTGGACAAAGAAGATGAGAAATATTGACATCTTAAAAAATCTGAACAACAAGGAAGATTGGCTAATAAACAGCATCCTTTCTCGAAAGCTGAAACATTTTGGTCATATCAAGCGCCACGACGGATTGGAAAAAATTATAGCAGGAAGGAGGGGCAGGGGCCGACCGACACGAAGATGGGCACAGGATATAAGTGACTCCTCGGGTGTGAAAGTTTATGAGGCGGGAGAGCTGGCAAGAGACCGAGTTTCTTACAGGCAGACCGTGATGAGAGCGACGTTCTGCAAAGGACCTGCTACATGATGATGATGTTAAAGCTGGCCCTATAAAGCTAGCGAAAATTCGTTTCCTATGTTATGTTATGTTATCAAAATCAAAGTCTTTGCACACTGGGCACCCCCAGGCGTGCTCAGTCCTCTGATGCAGCAGCCACTCCAAGGTGCCTCTACTGACTGTTCCCATGAAACGTTGGTTATAACTTACGTCAGTGACTGCAATATTTTTGCGCTAATCAAACAACTTGACAGTAATAAAAACTAGTATCCAAGAAAGGTGACTGGATGCCTGCATTACATTTTCCCCACAAGACATTTGGTCGTCCCTCTAAGGAGGGACAATGTGTCATACTGAGACTAAAGACATGGCACAACAGACGTCCATCAGATGTTCACTTTTTGGGGTAAGAAACACGAGAGTTGTGTCCCTGTAATTTGGCACCTAACAATGCTGAGTATAGGCTCCAACACTATCAACTGTGTGCTACCAACAGAGATGCAATCTGGCTAAATCAAAACTCAGTCAAAACAAAACTGTACTGTACATAGAGAGGTTCGGACTGCACGATAGCTTTCATCAAGGTATTTGGCCTGCTGGTATAAGTTTTGTAGAAAGAAATATGGCCACAGGGCCCTTTGAAAGAGGGGGAGAATGAAGGGCCTAATCAAATTGATACAAACGGTGACGACAATGCTAGCCCCCGGACTCAGATTCTTGCCCAACTTCCGGGCTGGCTCTGTACATGTGGGAAGAGCTTTACGGGGTTGCATGGTATGAGAACGCATGCCGGAAGGATGAAATGCGAGGGTGCTCCACGCAGTAAATGCCGTCGCAAAACTACTACTCCTGTGGTAGTTTCTGAGTTGTTAGGGAACGACGGGCAGGGTGTTCCCCACTCGCCCAGAGAGGCCCATGACGTCGATTGCGGAGGCGCACATTTGATGATTCCCGAGGAAGTGCGTTCCAAAATCAGGTTTCCACCTGCGAGCGATAAGGTGGTGTGGTGCGAGTTAGAGGGTACATTATGTGAGATACTTAAACATGATTTTAAAAAGAAGTCGTTAGGCGACAAGCTTACACAATTTGGTGATGTTATATATAAACACTGCTCCCGTCAGTTAGGGACAGTTTAGAAGGCATAGCCGGGTGCCAAGCAGAATACTAGCAGGAGACAGAGGGACATTCTGAAGTGTAGGGCAGACAAGAATGCCCTCAGAAAACGGTTTAAAGCAGCTACAGGCAGCGAAGGGAGGGGCTGTATGAAGTTTGGTTGCATTTAAAGAACAAACACAGTGCCCTCTGTCGCGCTGAGCGTTTCTGTAACAACAGGAGAAGAACCAAAATGGAGCGAGAGAAATTCTTTAGGGACCCGTTCCAGTTTGCCCGAGGTCTATTCCAGCAACCGAAGTCTGGGACTCTGGTTGTCAGTAAAGAGGAGCTTGAGTCACATCTACGCAAGATGTACTCTGACAAAAAGCGGAATGAGCCTCTCGAGAACAATCCAGAGATCCTTAGCGGCCTCATGCAGCCTGAGTTGCCGAAGGTACCATTTAAACTGATTACCTCCCCTTTGGTCTGAGGTTGA